ACGTGTCCGAAGAAAACTGTGCCCGCGTTTCGAGAGGCGGACATTGTAGTAATTTACCTCGCAATTATCCATTCCAGTATTTTATCGTTGGAAATTATCTCGCTTTAATCTGCATACGGGCGCGTTTGCTTTATGCGGTTATCCGCCTTGCGAGTTATTCCCGAAAAGGTGTCGATCCGTAGCGCGGTTTTATCTCGTGGCTGATTTGCAATTGATTTTTCTTGACGAGAGTTTAATTTGCGACTTAATTATCGTCGGTTTTAGTGTGGAAATGTACGATCGAAACTAATGCAAACCGACCAGACTGATAACGAACGAACGCCGTGTGCAAGCGAACACGTCTCTTTTCAGTGTACTTACATTGCGAGATATCGGCTTTGCTGTACCGCGACGACGCGTTCGCGAGCGTGAATTACGTCTATTCTCTCTGATTGGTTATAGCCGTTCAGTTTCCTACAGTAAATAGCTGGATAATTAAGTCGCGGATTAAATTTCCACCAAGACGTCATTAAATATGAATCAATTAAGTGTTAATCCGACAAGATGCTCCCGGTGACGCGATCGCAACTTTCAGTAATATTCCGTATAAAATCTGGAGCTAGAAATATCAACTTTTATACTGTTTAAGCCGGCATTTTACCGTCGGGCGAATCTCGTCTTCGATTCGCGACGCGTCGGCACGTCGCGCGTATGAAGAGTGCACTTCCGTGCAGACTCGAAAGATACAGTCGTCGCACATCTCGCGCGACAACGAGCGCCGCCGTGTACACCCACCGCTATACCATAAATGATCAATCGGCACCGAACGAAACACGTATTTCTTCCGTGAAATGGGTCATTAGATGAACGCACGCCTGAATTCCTCGATAGAGGAGAGAGAACCTGCGGTCGGGCTGCGGTTTTCGTACGTGCTCCCATACCTGGCTTCGGTTTACCTACCTGGCACGTGCACCGGCATACCAAGGAGATATTTCGTCCGAGACAAAAACCTTCGGATCACGATCGTCTTGACATGCCGCCTTACCATCTCGAGAGCAAACCTTCTTCTTTCTCCCCCTCGCAAACAATGCGAAGGGTGTGTCACGGGATGATAAAATCGCACGGTGTCCCCGTAGTGTGCAAAATCTGTCCGGGATTAACCGAGAGCACATTGCACCGTGCGCGATATGTAGACATCTCCGAGATATTCCATTAACATTCCCCAGAGCGGCCGCGAGATCATCCTTAAATGTCCCAGATGGCCCGATGTGATAGCTGGCGGGATACAACTGACACGCCGCAGGAAGCTCGCGCGGGCTCCACTCTCGTGTTTCACGGTAATTAAGGGTGCGAAGAAAAACGGCCGTTAATTTCGTTAGAGCGTCGCCCGATCCGTGTAAACGAGAGTCTTATTTTACCGTGACTGAAAAAATACGCGTGCGAGGTGCAACGGATGAATGTGCTATTTTGACTCGCGAATCGGACGCCTCCCGCGATATCGGAGACAACGATGCGCACGATGGTTCGGAAACTTGTCGAAAGGTAATTTCTCTTTGTCGGCGATCCCTCACGTCGAAATGGACGGGGATCGATCGAGCAGCTCGTGATCCTGCGAGATCCGTACGTCCCGCGGCGAAGGCCGAGGAGGGCCTCCGTTTCTGTCTCGTCGGCGGACGAGAAGGAGCCACTCCGGCCGACGCTATCGTATCCATAATTCGCCGAGAAACGGGGAGGCAGCGGGACTGTTCGGGACATTCGCGGAATCTGGAACACACGGCGGGTGTGCGCGCCTATTGATCTCTCTTTACGGTCGCGCCGTGACTCCGCCAGTCAATCGCAGGTCCTTGACCAGAACTCCGTATGAAAGTTACGGAAGGTACGCGACCGGGTGCTCGTCGATCGGTTATACCCTCGCAGTTCCGAAATGTGGGCCAAATGCCTATTGAGTTCGAAGGACCGCGCGCGAAACTCCGCCGTGAATTCCAAACTGATTGGCGTGCGCGAGCCCTTTGCCGGGGGCGGAATTGCAACCGGTCGACGCCGAGTCACGCCGGTGTGACGCGTTTCCTCGTGGCCGAAGGCGCCAGGGTATTCGCCGAATACGGGAATTTTTCGTTCTTGCCGGTTCGTGTCGGTTTCACGCGCGAATCATGTAATGACGTGCGTCTGTAGATTTTAAATATCGCTAATATCCACGGCCGAGTCGCTCGGTTGTTTACCTCGCGTGTCGAGTGATACGAATCGTGACGGACGGTTTTCGAAATTCATGTGCGTGGAAATATAACCATCGATCTGTCCGTACGGGTCATGCCTTTGTCAACGATAAGCCGGCCATTGACAACAATCGAGCCGTGCGAGCTGTAAAAGCCGCTACGTCCAAGAGAAAGAGAGAATCTCTCGTGGAGTTATCAACGATATGTTTTGTTTAGGGTTGTCCGTCGGTGCGTATACATTTGTACGATCTCCAAGTTAACAGCCCAAACACTGTGCAAATTAATATAAACGATGTAAAGAGACAACGTGATGACATAAAAATACATTAAACTGGTATGATGGTTGTGGGGAGGATCGCGGGACGAGCTATTCGTTGCGCCTTTGGCTTCTTTATGACATCAGAATCAATGACCGAGGATAAAGTAAAATATTGCCGCGCTATAGCACGAGGAATAACGGAAATTTACGTTTTTTCTCTCTTGTTTTTTTTTTATTGGAAAAAAAAAGCCGTCGAGTGGAGGATCAAGTGTAACCCCCTTAACGAACGTGACGCACAATCTGATAGCGCTCTGCGATCGGCTTACGAATACATAGTCGGCGCAACGGAGCGCGACGAAACAAAGCGGGGAAATTACACGATGCGAGGATACGGGGATGCGGTTGAAGGTGGAAAGGTACATCCACTTGAAGTCACGCCGACAATATTCGCAACACGTCGCGGAAAGCGCTGTAATGTGCTCTTACCTCTGACAAAGCGAATGCTAATCAAGTGGTGCTACTACGCGGAGTTTCCGCACGCATTAAAATTCATGGCAAATCGATATAACAATTAATCTCGGCACGCGCGCTGAATCGAGTCGTCGTACACGTCGGTAATCGATACCCGATGGAAGACAATCAAGATACAAGCCCGACGCGGAGAGATCACGGAGATACGGTGTTTCCTCGCGGCGAGGTATTGCTCCGGCGATTGCTTCATAAATTTACTCCGCGCCCCGATATCCCCAACGGATCGTTTCGTTGTTTATGAATCCTTACGAGGATCCACCCACCCGTACACACACACACATGTACGGTCCGGGGACCATCCGCTTTCTCGCTCCGTTAGTGAGAGAGTCATTGACGGAATGCAAAACCCGCGGCGATCGGTCTCGAGGAAAACCATCTTCAGGGCCGATCTTACCGTAATCGCTAGACGATATCGTAAAGAGACGAAGATCGCGAAAGGGATGGTTAATTTTCCCCGGACGAGAGGTATGGGAATACCCCCGGAATTCTTGGCGTGTCCTCGGAATGCTAGAGACGCGCGGGATATGCCTATTGATCTTTCCACGGTGGCTTTTCGAAGCGGTCGGTATAATCGGTGACGCGTGACTGCAGCCGAACACGGCTGCCAGCAGATCGCGTCGCCTCGAGCTTTTAACACGACGATAATTCCGTTCCGCCTTCCGCGCGTTTGTCCGCCGAGTTTCGCCGCGTTGGGAGGAGACGCGACGCGGTGTCTGCTTTTGTTCGCCGCGCGAGTTCGCGAAAGGTCCAGGAAAGTCGGGACTATTGAGAGCGGCCGGGGATTGCGTGCCAGAGGTCGGAGAAAAATCGAGTGAATGAACCTGTTGAAGAAGCGGAAAAAATTTTTCAAAAGCGAAGATGGGGATGTTCTTGAGAGAGAGAGAGAGAGAGAGAGAGACAATTTCGCTGAAAAATAAGCTCGGTTGGATCTACCCGACAACTTCCGTAAGACAGATGTTCGAAAGACATCCAAGAGACGTCCCAGAATGTTCGAGTATCCCTGGGACGTCTCTGGGATGTCTTTTGAACATTTGTGCTGCGTGGAAATGGACAACGAAAATAGAGTTTCTGGTTGTAACAATCAACTTTGGTTCATGAGGACTAGAAATTTGGTTGCCTTCAACGCGTGAAACGCGTTTGGTTGGCTATTGTTAGGTGGATCGAAGCAAATTCATTTCTCAGTGTGGTTGACGACGACTCTGCTCTTCCATCGATGCCAAATCTCGCCGCTCACCCGTCGTTATCCGCGCGAGTCAGCGACTTTCTTGCCGGAGGAACGCGATGACGGAACTTCTTCGAGGCCGCGCAGGCGAGGACCGCTCGGTGAAGTGGCGGTGAAACTCCGCCGCGAGAAACCTCGGCGACCAGCAGTCAGCACGGATAGACCGACGATCGCCGGTGCTCGGAGGTCGCGCAAGAAGATGACAGGGGCGGCACTCCATTATCGTTCTGTAACTCCTTTTAATTATCTCGGCCATAAGTTATAACCGGATTCGCGCTTTTTCGCGTCCTTATCGGGCCAGAGCTGCGATTTTCTCCCGGCGTCGGCGAGCAGAAGAGGAAAAAAGGAGGAATGAAGGAAGAGACGGCGGGTAGGGGTAAGTGAGGAAGAGGTCGACGATGGAACAAGGAGGAGAGGAACAAGGCGTAGAGGCAGCAACAGCGGAAGAAGAGGAAGAAGCGGTGGAAGAGAAGAAGAACTGGTAGAAGAAGAAGAAGAAGAAGGAGAAGGAGGAGGAAAGGGGGATGCGCACGAGATAGGCGACGGGGTAAAAGGGTGGTGGCTCGCGCAGAGGGTGGGGAAACGGTCTGATATACAACCGAGCTATGGGAGGAACTCGCGCGCGCACACACGCATACGTAGACAGAGAGCGGCGCGCACACACACGCGCACACCTACCCCCACACGGACGAACACGGGCGCACACAGGCGCAGTTCCACGGGCTGAACGGGGCGGCTGCGTGCTCGACGCCCGAGTGGCGCTCGCGCAATGTAGTCCCTCGGCTATCCTCGACGCGGGAGCATCGCCGTTTCGAAAGAGCCGCGACCTTCTCCCCGTCGCGCGCGCGTTCCTGCGAAGCGGTGTCAGGGGGCGAGAAGTTCGCGCGAGAGGGGCCTCTCTGCACGGACCCCTATCGCGACACGACATGGTACCGCCGCAACTCCGACCCCGTAGTTGACGCGGACGTCGCTCTCCCGTGCGCAACCCCCGACCTCACCCGGACCGTTTTCGCGGACCGTTCTCCGGGAAAGAGAGAGAAACTCTCGCAGAGTGCGTGACGCGCGGGCCGTCTTCGTAGGATTCGCGAGCCCGTGATAGTGTGACAGCACAGTGATAGCAGTCAGGTGGTGTAGCAGTGTTCCGCGAGCGTCGGTCGGATGATCGGATCGGCGGGGTCTCGAGCGTCCAACGAGGGGCGTTCGATCGCGATTGCTGCGAGATCTCGGAGAGCTGGAGAACGCGAGGCGTCGGGTGTCCCGGGATCCCGCGGAAGCTTCGTGAGGGAATAACCGAGCGACTGTTCAGCAATAATAATAAATACTCCACACTGCCCTGCACACCTGAGAAGTTCCGGAGGAAAGCTAAATTCTCGTCCCCGTAGAGGACAGCGACGAGTGATTGCGAGAGAGATATCGTCGATCGTGAAGTGCGTTCAGTGCGAAAAGTCGTTCCGTCGCAGCCGTATTCCGTCCCACGGTGCTCCGCTTCGCCGAGCGGAAATTCCGCGCGAAGCTGCAGTCGTTATTAAAGAGCACCGTTTCTCGTTCTCGCATTTAAGAACCGTCACTACCATACTCGACTGCCGTGCCTCCTTCCTCTCCTCCCCCCTTCCCTCTCGCTGGAGAACGGCCAGGGCAAGGTGCGATAGGAGCAACACCGGTCCGATCTACGCGGATCCAACGGATCATCGGGGAGGGTCAGCCGATGGAGGGTGCTAAAGTTAAAAGCCGCTCGTAAAGCGTGTCATCTCTCGCGGGTGCCGCTATGCTGTCGCGGTACGAACCGGGGCTCGTTTACCTGGAGCGCGACAGCGCAACGTTGATGCATTATTGAAAAGCTGCGGAAAAATCCGCGGAAAATTCCCCCTGTGGATCGAGAGGGAGATCGAGAGTGCTCCACCATAGACGTCGCGAGCGACAGCTGTAGAGGAGAGCTACAAAAGAAGGAGAGAAAGAGAGAGAGAGAGAGAGAAACTAAGCGAGATCCCGTCGGATTCTCTTCATTTGTGATCGGTGAAGCGCGCACCTTCACAGTCCGAATCGCGGCTCGTCGCTCGCGCGAGAAAGAGAGAGAGAGAGAGAGGGAAAAATCAGCCGAGTTCGGAAATATGCGGCGGGGTCGCGCGGGCGGGGAAAATACACGGTGGAATGATCGATGGAACGTCCGGTGCGTCGTGTAGATTGCATTAATAACGAGTCGCGCCTAATGCATATCGCGAGCGATCCTACGGTCGCCGATGTAGCGCGAGACCGGGCATAGCACAGACGGAGCTTAGCGAGGCTTAGCGAGGCGCGAACGAGACGGGCTCCCCCCTCCCCCCGCGCATCAATCAATATGGATCGCCCGGCAGTGTAATTTCGGTCGGAAGAGTGAGTGATAAGAGTGATGCGGCGATCGCTTGAGTGCTACGGTGATAAGACCGACGCCCCGCGCCGATAACGCGGGTGAAAGTTCAACGCGAGATTAGCAGAGACCGTTGGCGCGCCGCGATATCGGACGCGCCGGGGGAAAAGAAAACAAGCCGGGCCGCGCGACAGTAGATAGTCACTCGGCGTAACGATTGAGCAACGTCGACGGACCGTTGACCCGTCGAATCGGAGCGACTCGCCGGATTGTATAATCCCTCCAAAAGCCCGGCGTCTCGGCTCGGCCGATTCTCAGGGCGGCGCGTTTCCGCGTCGGTGGGCTCGTCGTAATCCGTGAATCGAGGCGAGATCTGGCGTCCCCGTGGAAATCGGTCCGCGATTACGACGACCGAGTTGCTCGAGCAGTGACCGCGGCTCGATTTAACGCGTTCTCGACGAGGGAGGACTAATTAAGCGTGACGCTTCCTGGTCCGCGCGACGAAGTATAATAAGACAGGATACGGCGCATTCTCACGCACACATACGCATACACGTACACACGCGTATAGTTGGTGCCGAGTGGCTGTGCATGGATCCACGGTGGCTCCGGGTGATTCCGTCGGCACCGGTCGAGAGTACGTGGAATGTCACGATCGCGTCGACAGACGCGGAATGTGCTAGTGCATCCTCCCTCCTTCGGCAACTAGCGTCTCCTAAAAACGATTGAGATGCGCCCGAGATAGTATATGTCAGTATGTGAATGAGCCACGCCGGGGAAAAGCGATGTCTACTTCTCTTCCCACACTCGTCTGTTTTATCATTTGTTTTGGTAAGTACACGTCGCGCGCGTCCTCGCATTGTCAAATACACGCGTGAATTAACGCGGGACGCGAATCGTCGCGGAAAAAACGCGTGGTAGAAACGCTGTAAAATTTGATGAAACGCCCCGATAAAACCCCTTCGTTCTGTTTGTGTGTGTGTTCACCGGCAGCGAAAATATCAGAAACATCGAGAAAGAGAGAGAGCGAATTGACATCGTGTACAACGCGTTTAAACGGCAATTCCGGGCTTTCGGGCGCGTATACAAATATCGGCAAAATCCAGACTCATAATTGTCCGGTTACATCAAACGGATCGCGATTCTCGAGCTATTGATACGCTAATATCCGTTGCATTCGCGTTAATTGCACGCGCAATTATTGAGGCACCTAATAACAGCGGCATATTACCTGGCTTTAGCGCCCCTCCCCCTCACCGTTGCACCAGTTACGTTACATTTAAGTCCCAGGCACGTATGTCCCAATTAATGCGCCGTTGATGCAGTCAAGTGGCCTGTGGGAGGCGAAAAGTCTTGTCGATCACCGCAACGCTACGTGCGGAAATAAACTGCACACATCGTATATACACTAATATGCGTGTGTGTCGCGCCGCTTTCGACGCGAATTTTCGCGAAAAATCAGGGGAAATACGTTGAAGGTGTGGCTTGAAATAATACACGTCCTGTGTATTGTAAAGCAGATTACATAAAACAATTTCAAAGAGTTACTATTATAAAACGTTGCGTTGAAACCGTTGGAGCGAAACGTTAAAATGGAAAATGCAAAAACATTGGGAAATAGCGCATTTAAAATTGTCAGACGTTGTGCGACATTTAATAACTTCGGAATATCGTATACAGCGTAGCCCGCAGCGCGGGACATAGAAAATAATAATTACAACAGACTATATCACAGCATTTGTAAATGTTGAATTAATTTCCGCGATATCACGCGGACGGAGAGAACGAAAAACTACCCTACGTTTCTTCGCACGGCTCGACCCGGCGAATTTCCGACGAATCGCAAACACGCGCGCGATACATTCGCGATACGTGTGTTTTCCGCTGTTTTCGGATTTTGATTTACAGATTTCACTTTGTGCTTTATTTGCAAACGTTTCACGACCTTCCCCGGTCACGGCCGGCCGTATCCCTCTCTTCTCGGGGAAGCAATTTAGCAACTCTTTCCTTTCATCTTCGAGATTTCACTTCGAGACGACGCTTCGATCACACGCGTATCCACACGCATTTCGTCGGGAATAGGTAATCGGAGGGGTCGAGATATCTCTTGAAAATACGCCGATACTTGGCACTCGCTGCCAAGGACGTAGATATCTGGAACTTTTCTGCGGAAATAACGCGCAGAAGGCATGGTTTCGCAAAGTTCGCGATCAGAATGCCGACGATAAAAAAGTACTTCAGAAAAGAGGACGCAGTCTGCGAACTTGGCGCTATTCATTTGAGAACTATAATCAGATACCGTCGACAGAGAAGAAGAAAGGAAGAAAGAGAGAGAGAGAGAAGCGGAGAAATACCGGGACGAAAACGTTTCAGATAAGTGTATACACACAGCTAGCATATCCGGACGCCTACGTTAATTTTCAGCGTGCGGAAATAAAAAGTCGCGATAAAGTGTATATTAATCGTCCGGCGTGCGCGCATAGTCGCGTTTATGCTGCGAATCGTTTTCAATTTTATGAAACTCGATATGACAGCGGCACGGAATTCGGGAACCGACGATAAAACCGAGTTCAGCCCCCGTTTCACTTTTGCCGATGGTGCGGTGCGAAATAACGGGCGTTCCGCTGGGGAGATCCGTGCGTGAAATAAAAAGAGCATCGGCTCTACGTGACAGCGCTTGCATATTTTAACAGAGCCGCATGTGGCTACGGCTGTTAAACTGCTCCGACCGCGCATACGTACCGCACAAATAAGGTAACTCTTGCCTCTAACGTCCGGGCGAGACTCGAGGAGCTCGCCTGGCTCTCGCGGCCGTCGCGATCGTCGTCGCGACGACTCTTTCCGAATTCTCAACGCCGCTCTGTGCTTGTGCAAACGTTGTTACCGAGCGTAAAAAAGTCATGCGAACGTCGTGGCGTCAATTACGATCATTTCAAAGGAGGTTAAGTAGTAACTCTCTCTCTCTCTCGCTCTATCCGAGGTAAAGGCTGGTTGAGATTTATTGAGTCGCTTAAGGGCCAAATCCATCGGAAAAGTCCCGCGGAGACGGGATTTACACGCGGGTAGACGTAGATGTAATTTCCGCCCTTATTCATCGTGAATCCGTGTTCGACGAAATCAACGTTGCCGTGAGAAGATGGAAGTTCCCACCTTCTTCTTTCTCTCTCTCTCTCAATTTTCTTCTTGCACGACTCGAAAGTCCACGTTTCGCCGAATATACGCGGCTCAATTAAAACCTGTTCAGAGAACGGGGAAAAAGAGAGTCGCGCGGCGGTATAGTGATGCTTAATGCTATTGCGCTCGGTGCGCTTTTTTCATAGCGAAGCGTGATTTTTTCCATCCTCGACACCGTGCGTTCGCTCTCTCTCTCTCTCTCTCCCACCCTCGTTCACTCGCTCGCTCGCTCGTTCATCCGTTTTCACACGTGACGGCGCAATTAAAAGCAACGACGGCGATGAACCGCGTATCGCGCCGTAGTCCGCCGTTAAAATTCAAATTTCAGTTAACTACTGTCGCACCGGCCGCGAAAGATGTAGTTTTAATTCAACCGCACTGAAACAGCGGCACGTAGCGCAGTTTATATTACCGCGATGGTGGAAAAAAAGAGAAGAAGGCGAGAAAAGGCGGCAAGCCGTCGCGTAACGAGAAATATGCGTTCCTTGATGGAGATTGCGCGGGACGAGAGAAAGAAAGAGAGAGAGAGAGAGAGAGAGAGAGAGCTGATTGAAAATTATTTGACGAGCCGAATTAATATTTCACTCGCGAATTACAACGACGTGCCGGCGCAACGGCGCAGCAGACGGTTACGGTATTAAGCTTAATTAAATAATCCCCGCTGGTTTTCTCGCTTAGCCCTTTCACATTGTCGAAAATAATTGGCCGTAACGCCGTGCCGTACGTGGCCGGATGCAATTAATTCGCTTGCCGCGCCGCCGTCGCGGTTTCGACGACCCTCTCTCGTCACGAAGCAACCGTAACCACGCGCCTGCCGTTCATCATGCTTCAGACGTTTATTATCTAACGACTCATTAACAGTCCTCTCTCTCCCTCTCTCGCTCTCCGCTCGCCATGATTCACGATTCACGCGACGCGTCCGTTATTAACGCCATCGGAAGGGGCGGATCGCCGCGCATACATATGGACCGTGTTAAAACTTAACGAGCCATATTACCGTGATGTAACCGGGTGTAATCGCGGATTATCGCGGCGACGAAGTTGAAGTTAGATAATACGCGGCCGACATATGTTCGCTCGTCGTCAACAGCGCGGAGACGGTGACGACGACGACGACACGAGGGCTTTTCTACGGCGCGTACGATGCGTTTACGCAGCCGTCGAGCTCGCAGAATTTACAGCGGGTCTTTATGGAGTCGGGGGAGAGAACTACGCTTCCCGCACATCCGCAGCGCCCCGCTTTATTAGCGGATTTCGCGGTGACGCTAACGAGACGACGAGCGCGCGAGATCCTCGAAAGCTCGATCGCAGACGACTTCGCTTGAGGTGGTCGGCTCGTTGAATCATTTTGGGGACTAATTCTTTCTTCCGTGCAATAATGACGGCGGCATATTGCTAGTGCGTTAGCCGCTCGCGGGAATAATAATAAGATGCGACGAAGAGTGAAAAGGGGAGGAATTATATGCACTCGTTCGTTCGCTCGCTCGCTCGCTCCTTGTATCGTCGATAAGAGATTAACGGTAACGCTAAAGGCCGCCGGCCGACAAGCAGCGGAGGGGTGGCGCGAGGTCGCGTAACACGTGCCAAACGCTACTTTCCATCGCTTCCACCTCGTTGAAGCATATACTGCAGCCGGGAGTAAAAACGGCCCGGAAAAGTTTTCGCGATAGTTACTACGCCCCCATCTTCCGTCGAGGGCTCCTCGGTCCCGGCTGTGCGGAAAGTCGAGCAACTTGCCGGCGAGCAGTGCATTAGGTAGATGGATAAACAGGCGGCAGAGATAGGTACACCCGCCGGTGCCGGGACGTTGGTTATGTAGGGAGATAAATGGACGAATGTGTACGAATCGTTCATTATGGCCCGTAGATTCGATGCACGAGATACGAGAGAGAGAGAGAGAGAGGGAAGAGCGCGGAATGAGGCGCCGATCGATCTTCACATAATTAGCTCGAAAGCAAGGCGAAAACAGCAGGGTGAGTTGCCTTCCCTCCTACCTTCCTCGTCTTTCTTTCGGTAACGTAATGAAACGAAATGCGAAACGACTGTGTTATTTTGTGAAAATTCCTTCCCTCGCGGCGATAGACCGCGGCGAATATATTCCATCCCGCGGGAGAGCTCGCTCGGAATATCACCGCGCTTTGAACTCCGCGGAATTAAACGAAACTAACGGCGATTATTCTCTTCACACGGGAAAAAAGAATTAGCCGTCCATATTATAATGTAACTGAAATCTAGTTATCCGACTCAGTTTTTAACCATGGGAGTTATGATGAAAAATAGGTAGACATGGACAAAAAGAATTGACGAAATTTCAGTTGTATCGTGCGGACTGCTAATTTTTGCCTGCGGAAGTTAGTTTTTAGCCGTGGGAGTTCGGGAAAGTGGTGCAGCGATTGCCAGTTTTGAGATGCATTTCTATTTTAATTTCTATTTCATTCGTTCTGTTTCATTTCTATTTTAACCCTTTTAGTGCCGACGATATATCGTCGTTCGCAACACTTGCGAAAAGTGCCAACGACGATATATCGTTGCGTTTTTGATGTTATTCGTATGATTTTCAACAAATATTGAAATACAATTGGCATTATTTTATTCTTTCTTTATTTTGTAATATTCTGCTTTTTGAATTTTGTAAATATCATTTTTAGTTTAGTTTT